CAAAAAAAGGAAAAGGAAAAATGGCTCTCCAGACAGGAGCCCATTGCAGCAGTCTGCAGCATCCAGCGTCTAGGGGTGTTACCTGCTACAAAAAGCCAACTTTCAGAGACAGTCCTATACTTCATGTGCATCCTGTGTATTGGCAGTGTCTATTTGGAAAAGAAAAAAAAAAAAAGCCAAGCCACCTGATACTTGCTACCACAAATCTGAAGTCTTTTTCTGAAATTGTGGCACGCGGGGTCCTTCGGCTATCTGCCATCTTGGAAAAAACCAAGGGGCTAATTCTTAGTACATTTCTCCTTTTAATTTAAAATTGTAAACATCCTCTAACTAGGCTAAAATACTTATTTATTAAGATAGATAAGTTCAACAAAAATTTATCTGATCACACAAGCAAAAAGTTTATTTTCCTTTGAGGGCGTAAACATAAAAATATTTTGATACAAGGTAGAAAATTCTCCATTTTCAACAAAATTTTGGCACAATGAAACATGCTTGTGACATAGCAAAATTATGAATATCCAGGATCTCTGCAATCTACCGCTCTTTTAGTAGTTATTACATTAAGAGATTACCATATCTCTCAAAAGCAAACTGCTACAACTGGAAACCCAGTTTTCAGTAAAATTTGATCCTGTTTAATTAACAAATACACCAGAATTGGTATTTTCTTCTTATATGCAGAGAAAGATGTTTTAAAATTATTTCTGTAATAGCTTATTTTTTTGTTAACTGAACCTTATGGTATTTTGTTTATCTAAGCCTACTGATTAGTAGGCGTCTCTCCTTAGAGAAACAAATTTTTTTTTCTGAAAAGAAATGCCAACTATTTCTAATCATACCACACACTTACAGATAAAATGTCGAAATAATATAATTGATCCAGGATTGTTCACTCTCTTCCCCTCCCCCTCAAGTGCTCCATGGGAATAAATTAAGTACAGAGGGAGGTGAATTAAAATAAGGAGTCTCCTTGTGACTAATGGTGACTGAATACACAAGCTACTTAATTTGTTATCAGACTGACTAAACCTCTCGGGGAAATTCTGAATCACTAAACTAAAAATAAGGTAACATCAATGGATTTTTAAGAAATATTATATATGAATATATGTTAATTATACAAAGGCAATCAGAGTGTTAGTCTTGTAATAACTAGCATCAGCTACCGCATATGCCTTTCTCTGATTAAACCAATTTTACCACACTCTCCAATTCTACAGTCTATCCTAGAGGCAGGACCTAGGAAAAATATTAGAAAATGTCTTCATGAACCAGTTCCTTTAATGTACAGAAGTTTTAATCACATAACTTAGGCTTCCTTACCAAATAGTCTTTGATATTTAAAAATATGTGATACAATTAATATTTTTTATCCAAAAATTTTATACACTTCAATTTTAAAAAATCCTAAACAATGCTAACTGCACAAGATTGCCAGAAAGTATCAACCAAATACATCTTCAAATAAAATCTGATCTTTTAAAAACTCAAAGGTAACATCTTTCCCAGGGTCAACTAGAAAAATGCATAATCCAGAATAAAGAATTTTCATATACCAATTATTAGCAATGAAACAGCTAAACATAAATATCCAAAAATTTTAAAATAGTAATGCACTGAAATGTAAGTGCAAAAAATCAACTTGATCCACATTATAGTTTAGGACTAGACCTATAGTGAAGACAACCATTTAATATAAATGGCCATCAATTAAAGTTTAATTACTGTTCAATAATTCACTCTTTAAAAAACTCAGTTTTGATAAATTCTGACACAAGGATAGGTATTTTTCCTGGAAAAGCAGCTTCTCGTTTGCGATACAACATTCTATCTCTATCTAATATGGTGGTTTCTCATTTGTGGTGACACAGATGATTATATTCAAATGGCATTTTACATAAACTGCACCAAACTGCCCTATAATTTCATTTTGGACTGAATTAATTAACTTCACAGTAGGTGGCTGAGGTGCTGAACATAAGGCCTAAAGAAACAGTTGACTACTTAACCTACCTTACATGAGTTGTCTCTAAATCAAGGCAGCTCCCATTTTTAATAAATAGTACCAAGTAAAATATATTTAAAAGAATCCTAAAGGGTAAAGATAAGGCATTTATAATAAATGGATTTAGTTTTTCACACATATCCACATCCCTTTAGAAGAACTCTAGACAGTTAAGGAGGATTTAACAAAACTCAGCAAGAGCTGGATGCCTGATACTTTTGACAGACTTTACCTTAGGAAGTGTGCATTTTTAATTAAAAACATGTATTCTGTGTCCCTGAAAGAGGTTAAAATAAAAAAATTTCCACTTTGTAGCAATTGAAAATAACACTACCTTAAATGCAGTTTAAGAAATTTGTATTCTAGAGCTTGAAATGTAAATGTAATTGTCAAAGATATTATTTTCAGATCATCAGAATTATAATATCATAAAATATCTGTTCTTTCCATTGTTTATAATAGTATTAAAGCCTGATAGCTAACTCTTTGTTTCAAGTTTACATTCTTCCTACACCACAAAATGAATTCAAAGGGCAAACAAGGAATGTGGAAAGTCAGCTCATAAAAAGTTGAAACATCTTTCATTTCACATGAAATATTTCTTTGTCATAAACTTCTGGTTTAGGAAATTAGAAAACAAATTAACTACTTGACAATTTTAAACTCAGTATTGTTAGATAATTTTTTAAATTGTGAAGGAAACAAAGAAGGAAGTTGGGGGAGAGGGGAAAGGAAGGGAAGGAGGGAGAAGGAAAAAAAGAAAAAAGCCCAACTTTGTGTATAACTCTCCTTTTTTAGAGGGGTGTGAACTAGTACTTAAAGAACACAGTGGTCAAAGACATGCAGCTGAATACTTCTGGCTGATTTTAAAGGCTTTCTAGCTTATAGTAAAATGGGTTCCCAGAAACAGATGGGGTGGAAGGTGTTCTTGGTCAGATTTCACCTAAATGGCTCTAGGAAGATTTCAGACATTTCAAAGTTCCTCTCTGAGAAAATACAGTTAAGGTAATTTCTCCATGAATTAATTCTCTTTCCTGTATAACTTAAATTCTTCTAGCTACAATTTTTATGAAGAGAAATGACAGAATTTGGAAGTTGTGATACTGGCTTGTAATAAAGGAAGGGGGAAAAAAAAAAAAGAATGCTTAGATGCCAGTGTGGGAAATCATCTTGCCTGCAGCAGCTTCTAAAAAATGTAATGCAGTGACAATCGCTATTGTCATAAATGTTGTCAAAACCAGCAGCAAGGTTTTAAAAAATAAATTCAAACAGAATATTCCTTGCATTTTTAGTCTGTCATTTGCTGAAAAGGCAACCACAACAGAAATTTCTGAGAGCCTTTTAGTTAGAATAAATCAATATACTTTTTAAGTTTTCATACATGTGATTGTCTCTAAATTCCATCAAGCAAGCATGTAGCATTTTCTTCTCACCAAGGGCTAGGTCTCTTCTGATGTCCCTAGTCACAAGAGCCCTTTTGAATCAGTATTCTCTTGGGTTTCAATTCTTGCTAGAGTCCTGGATAAGCACAAAGTAACCTGACAGTTACGTCATGCTCCATAAATGAAATAAAGACACTACTATCTAAAAATAACGAAAGGCTCCATTTAAATTAATGCTTTTTTTGGTCAAGTGTTCATTTTATTTCACAATAATATAGTTCTGATCCAAATAGAGTTTTTAACAGCTTTAAAAAAAGACCTCCAGAGATTACATACAGGGTAGTAATTTAATTCTTGTATTTTTACTTCTTGCAATGGCGTTTAGGGTTCAGTGTGAGTTGAGATTTTTAGCTCTGTTGCTGACATCTTATGGAAACTTTTATTTGGAAATTCTGATTAGATTTTTAAAACTGTTCAGCTCTTGTTTATAAGAACTGTTATAAAAATGGATTTTTTGTTCCTTTAAGATATTCATCCCTTTGCTATTTATTCCTCACTTGATTTCATAATCCTGTTTGGGTCACTCTGATTAGTTGCTATGGAAATTACCTCCTATGGAAATGATTCCAATGTTATTACTGTAAGAATATGATTTTTAATGAATAATACCAATAGCAGACAGCAATCCTTGCTAGAAAAAGGAAACCTAATTAAAATTTTAAAACAGGCTTAATTCTGAAAATTACTACCATGACCATTTTTTCTGATATTTTTAATCTGCCATCTGCTTTTTAAATGAGTGTTAAATAAATTGTAAGGTGTTAATCAGCTACTCACTTCCCCAAATTCCAAAGGTACAATGGAAATGGGCACCACAAACAGAAAAGTGGATGCAGGGAGCATTTCATCTACCATTCCTCTATGCTAATAAATGTTATACTTCACTCATGTCAACAGGATCTCAGGGCACATCAAGGAAACAGCTTTGAATAACATATTACACATTCCCTTTAAAGACAAAGAATCTAATATTCCAAAGTTTATCCCAGGAATTTAAAAGGTCAAGACTATAAATGAGTGAGTTAAACAATAGAAGAGAGCCAGTGAACCATTAGATGAGAATTCCAGAATGCTAAGAAGAAAATTTTCTTGGGTGGATTCTATAATTTGTGGTTTGAATAAAGCCTTTGAAACATTCCATTAGTATTAAAATTCTCACAATGAGAATATGGCTCATATTTAACACATTTTAAATTACTAGACAGTCTCTCCCCAAAAGAAATGTTAATGCTTTCTTCTGCCTAGTGCTTATTCACTGCCTGGTACTAATTTTGGAATAAATTAACCCTTCCAACAATTAGGACATTGTCTAGAAACTGCCTCTTATACTCTGCAGGGAAAATCACTTACATTCTGAAAATCAGAAGTAAAAGCGAAATCCATTTCTTTATTATAAGATGTTTTTCTATACCTAATAGCTTATCAATTATTTATGTAAATTGCTACTGTAGTTACCTATACAATTACGAAACATTACTACATTTATAATGCTTCTGAATTAAGTCTTCCAGTTATAGATTTTGTTAAATGTTTTATACAGTAACGGTTTTCTATACTTGTGCCTGCAACCATGATCTAGGGTCCAAAACGTCTTTGATGGATTTCTGCCTTGGAGCTGGCACTGGCTTAGCTTCAAAATTGGTTTTAGTGTCTGTGTGCTCACCATCAGTTAAACTATTTTTCCTGGCAGGAAGAAGTTTTTGAGGGGCCACGATTGGTTTCTGTAAGTGATGCATTAGGGTTGATAGTCTGGTATCCAAAGGCAAGCCTCGAAACACACTTGTATTTCCCCCGTTGTCCTTCACCAATTGATCTGTATTATACTGTGTTTTTAAGCTGAATGGAGGCTTATCAGAAGGAAGAGGAGCTTGTCTCTTTTTCCTTTTCCCATCACGTGGAGGCTCCTTGGCAGGGGACAACACCTTTTTCTGGATGATCATTTTATGATTACCATCAAAGACAGTGGCCCAAGGAGGTGGTAAGGACTCTTCATCCTGACCAATAAGGAACTGTCCATTTGTCTCTGCAATTTTTTTTTGTATTATGTCAGTTAAACTTTCAGGTTTCACAGGTGAATCAATGCCTGTAACAATTTTAAGAAAAAGTGCATGGGAAAAAATTCAAAAGCTATATGCATTTTACCTCAGTAAGTTATTGTTTTCCAAACTAATATGCTACCTATAATGGCTATCAAAATTTAGAGCATGATAATGAATAAAATGTTTACTTGTGAAAATAACTGTATCGACAGAACCAAAAATAAGGACACCATGCATTGCATTACATACATTATATATACATGCAATACATACATGTGTTTTACAATACACATGTAAAATATATAGTGCACAAATCTATAATAATGCACAAAATACAAAACACATACACACATAAAATGTGTTCCTAAACAAAATGCAGATATATGAGTACTTTTAAAGATTCTATAGACTAAGTATTTATTACATAGTTTTTATTGGATTTTAAACCTTATTTTGGCCTCTAGGAAAACATGATATATATAAACTGGAATGAGGGTAACAGATTAGTATTCTTTCCTATAGAGCAGCCAAATCTCTTAAAACAGAAAAAGTCCCCAAATCAAAAACAGAGAAGGCCCATGAAGCCTTCATAGTACTACTTTGGTGGTAAGGTACTGAGTGAAATTATCCTTAGGTAAAATGTGCATTAAATGAATTACAAGTATATCGAAATGTCTAAACCCAAATGTATCTTTTTTAATCTGATCCTTTAAAATATGTACAAGTCCAGTAACATTTGTGGCATGTGCTTGCTCCCACTTCCACTCACTGAGGCAATCTCACAAGATAAATAAGTACCTTTCAAGTGTGGGAAAATGAAATATCAGTAAGTTAAGAAATTTTAAATTTTCTAAAATATTAGACTTAATTATTTTTGGCTAGAGATGAAAAGCTTCCATTCATTAATATTCACCTATCAACTCTACTTAAAAACAAATTTAATAAAATACAGAAAAAAAGTGAACATGATTTCATTTTAAAATCTGCAAGTTTATAGTTTAGAATTTTCAACAGCTACTCAGCTGATATTTATTTTCAGTGTACCTTTATTCATTTTAAACCTTAAAATTTTCATTTGATCTTGAGCATTCAAACTATGACAAATGTGTATTCATTAGTTTTGTATTAATTCATCTATTAAACATGAGTTCCTTAGTCTATAATCATAGTCTTTTTCCATTCATTTTGATTGTGCCTGAAAATTTAAGCATTTTAATGTTAATAGAATAAGCTGCTTGAGGATGGACAATGTTGTTTTTGTTACCCTGCAGCTTAGAAAAGACAAACCCCACTTACTCATATCATGGTAGACTGAGGTCGCCTCTTTTGTCAAGAACAAAGGTGGTTTCCGTGGTGACATAATCTCAATTTTCATAAGTTCTTCACAACAATGCTTCCATTGGCCTAAGAAAGAAAGAAAAAAGCAGGCTAGTTTAGGCATAAATGTGAAGAGATATGCTTTATTTTCAAGAGACATCAACATATTTTTGCTTTGAAAAATAACAGTGAATTTATAAATAAAGCATTGTCTATTAAGGAAACTTGCACAAAAACCTAGACTACTCATAATTTCAAAGTCAAATTCTGTGCATAAAAGTAATCTATTTAAAAATAGATTAAAGTCCTATGCACAGTGACTATACTATAGATACACTATTTCTCTAAATCATCAATTACTTTAAAAAATACAGTGCAAAAGTTTGTATAGGTTATTTTCTTTTAAATATTAAATTAAAACATCCAATACTTAAGATACCTAAAAGGTAAATATACATGGCAATACTGCTCCCTTGAAGGACTTAGAAAAAAACATAAGAAATGGTGGTTCTCAAAAATTTTAATTAAGAAATAAGATTTAACCACTGTGTCTCTACAATTATCATGCTTTCAAAAGCATCTAATTCTAGAAAAACATTGTTTTCATTTAAATAAAAGGTAATAAAAACCTTTTACTATAAAGAAACACCACTCAATAAAATTCTGAGTCCACTTTGTTTTAGCAAAGACACAGGCATTGGGAATAAGACAGAAAATAATGCTCTTGAACAAGCTGTTTCAAATACTGGGTAAAAATTTTAAAATGTGCACATTAATTTTTTTTTTTTAGTTGTATTTCACTATTTTAATCAAATTTGTTTATTATATATCTGCATGCTGCATAGCAACTGTACTAGATCCTGCATATCTAGGTATTAATATTATAAAAAACTTACTGGGCTCACCATTCTTATATTTCTTACCAATAGAAAAGTAAACATAATCTATGTGTCTTTGCAAACTGATTTTTGTTCTATGTTTCTATCTTTTTTTATAGTCCCAATATCTATATTCAGTATCCAACTTGGCTATTTCTATGGCTTAAAAATTAAAGACAATTCATGTTAAATTACCTGTTCTTTTCATTTTGTTGATTCTAGTTGAATATATTGTAATGGCAAAATGGTAACATATGCATAAATTTTAAACCTGTTGCCTTAACTAGTTAAGAAACACATAAAAACTTTTCAGTATGTTTTATTATGAAGCTTATACAGAATATGGCAAAAATTTAAAAATAACTCCCTTAGCAACTCAAAAGAAGAAATAAATTCCTGAATACAGGCTGAAAAGGTTGCTCTCCAGAATTTAAATCCAGTAGGATCTGCGTGAGACATGACATCTTATTCTTTCCCTTACTTCCTTTTTTAGATAAATATATAAAAGCCCTTTTTTTTTCTTGGAAGCAGACAAAAAAAAAAAAATCCTTTATCAAATGGCAAATATTTCTCTGTCATATTCTTGGGCAAATTATTATGAAGTATGTACTTTTTGTGTATATTGATAAAGTATTTCACTGTTAAACTAGAAGCAGAATAGTAATGGTAAAAACTGGAATATAATGCTGCATCATTCTACATATTACTGATATCAGAGGTACAAATGTGGTATGTTCACTGGTCACTACATTACAATTGAAACATTAATTCTACCAGTGAATAAATCTGTATGTATTGATACATGTGATAGTTAATTTGCTAACATGAAGGCCCAATACAAAAAATAAATATTAAATGGATTTGTTTTGTTCACATAAAACCTCTTTATTAAAGATGCTTTGTTTTTCTTTTCTTTTTGAATCCAGGGCCTTGCGCTTGCTAGGAAGGTGCTTTGCCACTTGAGCCACGCCACAGTTCCTCTGTATTGAAGATATTTCCACATTATTTATTGTTATATTTATTGTTGTAGAATTCTGCTTCTAGTTTAGCAATGAAATGCTTTATCAATATAAAGCATTATACAAAGATTATATAGTCAAAATGACCTATTATGCTAAGTTGCTAATATAACTCAATATTTATGTTAGGTCATCTCTTTTATACATGTCTGCTAAGCTTTCAAATATCAAAAACAGTGATTGTATTTCCTTTGTCTTCTAATCTCCATGCCTTAGCTAATCTACAGGCTAAACAGACCTATTTCCATCAGTTTCTTCATAAATTTTAAATATTTCACCCTCATGGTTATCCACTCTGAAGTAGGGCCAAAGAAATGAAATTTGCTTCAAATTTACTCAATTCTGCTCTTAAGATCTTCCTCTACTTAGTTCTACATACCACATTTCAACCAAAATCCTGAGACTACACCTGTCACTAAGAAAATTAAAATTTAAAAGTATAAGTCAAAATTAAGAATAGTATAAACACTTCCATTTTTGCTTCATACTTCCATCTACAATAAATTTCAAAGTATTAATGTAACAAACTTATATACTGTAAAAATTATACAGACTGGTAGGTTGTTTTTCTTCTTTTTTGGCAGCAGTGGAGTTTGAACTCAGAGCCTTATGCTTGCTAGGCAGGCACTCTACCACTTGAGCAACTCTGCCAGCCCTGGATTGGTAGGTTTTATCCAAAATAGTAGCAAGTACCAAAAGAAATAGCTAGGTCTGAGAACCAAATTGTCACCACTTACTCATTACTTTGATAGTACAAAAATATGATGAAATTCTTATCCTTTTATCTCCCCACTTTAATATGATAATTATTTCAGATAATCTAGAAAATAAATACTGTAATATTAGTTGATATCCATATTTTGGCATTATTGCCTTCATATAGCTCTCCTTTCTGTTTAATGCCAATAAGAAGCATAGAATAGCAGACTCATTTCTAACAATAATATGGCCTTTTATAAGACAGATTCTCTAAATCAAAACATTTGTGAAAGCAGTTAAAAGCTTAGCAACAATTGGTTAACAAAAGAAAGGAAGCTGATGGCCTGGCATGGTGGTGCATACCTGTAATCCCAGCACTTGTGAGGCAGAGGCAAGTTTGAGGCCAGTTGGAATTACAAAAAAACAAAGCAAAACCAAAAACAACAATTTAAAAAAAAAAAGGAAGTTATTGTCTAAGTCACACACCATCACACATGCCTAAGATGTCTGGAAGTTTTAAACTAAAGAAATACACACAAGCTGATAAACACAGAACAAATATTTACCAATTTAACTTACTGAGTTCCTAGGGATGGTACTTAAGGAAAACAAATCCTAAAAAACCTAAGAGGTCATACAGCACTCCTCCAGCCCTCCAGCTCAAAGCCATGAACCACAAACCTCTTCAGGCCTCAGTTTTCTCATCTTCAGAGCAAGTGAAATAACTTCTACTTCATGGGGATGTCATAAGAAATCAATGAAGGTAGTGGTACAGAAGAGGTAATCATTCAATAAACAATTCCTCACCAGCCTCTTTCCCAACTTTCACTCTAATCCTTGATGAAGCCACAGGTCAGAAGAGGTCTAAAATATTAACTTGAGAACTACAGGTATTGACTCTTTATAATGTTCCAGAAAAAAACAATTGCTAAATTGTCTCAAGGATTACTTCCATGAGTTAGAAAAATAACTTTTCATTGTATGGAAATGATTCGGCTTTGTAATTCTAAAGAAGAGCATCCTATGACATAAAATACCAGTTAAATCTAGTAGTAGGTATAGTTTGATTAGAAATAGCAACATTCTACATTTTGAATATAAAATTATAATAATGATATGCTGCTAAGTTTATCATCTGTAAAGAAAGCACTGCTACATGTTCAGTAGTTTCCTATTGGTCAAAGTCTCCTTTAAGTGTTAATTAATTATTAGAATCTCATATTTTATACACTATAATGTTATCACACTGATTTTATAACCCATGCTATTGCTTTACTGAGATGGAAAAACCATATGTTTGGTTAAAAAAAGTATCTCTGGGTGATATCCAAGAGGATATTATAACAAATTTGTAGTTAACAGGTTAAATAAAAATGAGGCTCCTTCTGAACATTTCAGTATTTTAGGATCATCATTACCCTTTTGGAAAAAATTTTTGCTCCTCAAATGACTTCTGATCCATGGAATCAACTACATTGCCTTAAGCAGTTAAAATCTTACTATTTTGAGAAAATGTGGTTTTATTGTACCAAAGGAACTTGAAAGTATGAGAAAGGGTGCAGGCATTCAAAGATACACTACACGACAGTCTGTTGGGCAATGGAAAGAGACTGAGAGAAAAGAGCATCAGTGTATTGATGATATACCTTCTTTTTCAAGAAGATAAAAAAATTCTTGCTACATACAGTGAAGTTATAATTTTTAATATTTAGATTTCCATTTGCAAGCTTTTAGGTTATGAATATGCTAGAAAATCCAATGTCTACTTACTAAGATCAAAGAAATGCTGCCAGAAGGCTTCTATCCACTTCTGAAGATCTTCTCTAGTGTCAACTGAAAAAATATGAGTCATAGCTTGTCCAGCAACAGGGCTGATGACAGAGAAAGAATGGAGTCTTTTCTTGGTGCCCTTATCCATTGCCCGAATTCTGGTTTCCTAAAAATTAAGATGAAGTTACTTTACAAGAGAACATTTCTGCAATGATCAAATGAATATTGTATTGCTTAGTCACCATATTTATACAAGTGTAATTATAATCTTATTGCTGATCATTTACAATTAAAATATGTAATTTTGAGAATTTCAATATTCAAACAAATCTAGAGGTCTTTAAAAAGAATGCTTTATATTAAAAACCAAAGTAATGTTTCAAATATGCTATACTTATACCAAATTACATTGAGATTAAAATACAGTCTCTGTTTTGATCTATCTCAAATGTTTAAATGAGTTTGCTGCTTTTTATATACATCTTAAAATTGTAATAAAACAAGTACAGCATGTCATAAATTTAATATGGGTTATATGTTAACTATATTTCCAACAGTAGCAAAATTAAATCAGTAAACTATTTTTCTTATTCTAATATTCAATCATATTGTAGTGTTATCAGTTAAAGTAGTAAAACCATAACTTCAGTGTTCACTGCAGCAAAACAGGCTTTCCTCATTAACATTTATATTATACGTAACACCCATTTACAAAGCTCATAGTTATAAGATCAAAAGGCAATATAACTTTTATCATGTTAAAATTATTTTTTAATGCTGAATATAATATGTACCTCAAAGGCAATGGTTTCATTTATGTTGATAGTCTAAACCTCTTTTTCTGAATGGTACCAGGTAGATATTGTGATTACACTTACTGTGTCTACATGTGGGAGAGAGAGAGATCTATCCACAAGTCACACACAGGCACTGCCATGCCACATGGCAAGCTACTGATAGCAACTACACCAAGAGACTTTGGAGGATTAAAGTCTGGAATAGAACTAACTATTATACAAAGACGTCTGCATAATGATAAGTTTTACATTATCGTAGGGTAGCACTGTCTAGTAAAAATACCATGTATACCACATATATAATTTAAAATTTTCTAGATACCATTTTTAAAAATGTAAAAAGAAATGGGTGAAATTAATTAAAAGCGTATTTTGTACAACTCAAGATATACAAAGTATCTTTTTTCATACTTAGACTTCAAAATTTAGTTTGTATTTTATACCTAACAGCACATCTCAATTCAGACTAGCAACATTTAAAGTGCCCAACAGTTACTAGAGGCTAGTGGCTGTGTTACACAGAGTAGTTCTAGAGGAACATGGCTAAGCTTACTATAATGTGTGCAGAAGAATATTTGGACTGGCAGTAACAAAAACCTATTAAGAGTGAGAAGAACTTCTTTACTACATTGAGTAGAAAGATATATGCACAGTAACAACCAAAACCTACATGAACATACAATGATTTTTATGTGGGTATCAGAAAAGTAGCAATGAGTTAGGAAGAAAAGCCATTCACTCCCTGAAAAATGGGTAAACACAAAGAGGTGAAAACCATATATACTACAAAAGGAGTCCTTTTCCAAAGGAATTTTTACACAAAATCACATGAGGAAAAATGTATGCTTTGAACATTTAGAGAACCACAAAATATAAGGATTGGTAACCATCTTAATGTCAGTCTGCCCTGTCATTACAGAAATCTAGGAATGCTGACTGATTTTAGAGGACTGTAATGGTACTCATGATCAGCATAAGTTATCATGACAGGGTCTTTGTACATTATGTTTTGGTAATTGACTTTGTGAATTAGCTCTTTAAAATAATTATTTCTATAATATAAAAATTCTGCCCATAAATGGCATCCTTGAAAGCTGAAAGATGCATCTAATCAATCTCTTTAAAAATAAGGTTTATTGTCATTAGCAGAGAATGGCTTAAGCTCTAGGAAGAATTTCTGACATGAAGTTCTATCAGACTACTAATTGAAGGCTGAGTCACAGTGGGTGGGGGCATTGTTGTTACTATTTAAGAAAGAGGTATTCTTGTTACTGAAGTTGTGCTTCCCTCCACTTAACTTTATTTTAATACAAGCTTCTAATTTTTGAATATGGGATTAAAATAGATTCAATTTTTAAATAAGGAAAATGTGATTTTTGTAGATGAACTTATGTTTTTAACATGGTATCATTTCAAATGAAACTGCTTAGCAGAATATATGAAGTAGACCATTTATAGCTTCCAAAGAAAATATAACAATATACAGATAAATACTATACATTCCATTAACTCTGGTAACCATAAGTACCACTACATTTTTAAAATGTGAGAGGTTTTTAAAAGGTGCAAATGAAATGCAGAATTTAAATGAACTTCTATATTTTATCATCCCCAAAAAAGTACCGGAAAACATTTTAACTAAAAATTACATGTCAAAGGAAAAACGATTAGAACAAGTATAGTTTCTCAGAATGTCAGAAAGTTCATGCAAGTTGTTTTTGGTTCCAAATATCAGTAACAGTGCTTGGGTCTTCATTTCTTGAAAAAGGAAGTGATTAGAAAACACCAATGTGAATTTAGAACTGTTATTACAGACTCGCACAAAGTATAGATGAGTGACTACCTCCTCTAAGCAGGGTATGAAAGCAAACATCTTGGGAATTCTCCCTACCCCCAGTATTTCTACCACCTAAAATATTGCACAACACCCCAAAGTACTGAAAAATACTGGATGAAGAAAAGAATGAGATGGGAAAAGAACTCAGGGAATAACAAAGCTCTGCCTTAATTGACTCAGGCCCTACAAATTGTACCTAATCAAATCCGTTAATTCACAGGTGAGGAATATGTTCTATGTGAGACAAGTTTCTTATGCTTTTGCTAACCCTAACCCTTTCTGTTGATGTGGAAGCTTTACATTCAACTTTACTCATTTGTGAATGTATCTGAGATTAATTACTATGATATTTTAGCTGGCTTTGCTTTTGTTAATCAGTACGTATTAAACTTTAACACTCAGCTGCATAAAACCGAGGGGTACCCAGAGAAGGCTAGGTGAAGAGCATACAACATAATCAGTTTTGCAACAGAAACAGAAAAAACTCTGAAGTCAAAGAACTTTCCTTTAGGATTTTTAATACTGTAGGATTATTTGTTGTTTTGCTTTTTGCTGGTACTGGAGTTTGAATTCAGGCACTCTACGACTTGAGCCATGCCACCATTCCTTTTTGTTTTAGTTATTTTTTGAGTAGGGTCTTGTCTTCATGTCTGGCCAGCCTGGATCATGATTGATCCTCTTAATTGTGCCTCCCAAGTAACTGGGATGAGAGGCGTGCCATCAAGCCCAGCTCTTGGTTGAGATGGGGTCTTGGGAACTTCTTGCCCAGGCTGGTCTCCAACCATACCCTCCTGATCTTTGTCTCCAAGTAGCTAATATTATAGGTGCATCACTGCACTGGGCAGAGCTTTATTCCTTTGAATTAAAACTGTTCTGCAATCTCTCCATTTCTGTGTAAATGGACAATTACAAGATCAGTACTAGATTTGTAAATTATTTTACTTTTGACTACTTAATCTTTAAAAAGTCTGCTACTGAAATCACTGGTCTCTAAATATTCTTGCCTATAAAAAGGAATCAGTGCTCTTTGGAGAAATGGCTGATTACTAGACATGCCCGGAAATGTAGAAGATGATTCTGGAACATTTGTCCTATCAGAAATTAAGAGATAACCAGGATCTATCACAAGGCCTCAACAGCCAGTGTGAAGATTCTGTTAGTCAAACATGGGACTATTAAAGCACCAATAAAAATAATAATGTAATGGACTGATATAGGACCTGTCTTTGAATCCAAACATACATATTGGTATTTAAAATTTAACTCATTGGTCACCTTTGAAGAATGCCAGGGAACCACCTCATTATTTTGTTAACCAATACATAAATGTAAAAATTAAGTACTTGTCCTGCTTTCCCCGTAAGAACTGTACCTCAGAGTAAGCAAACAATCGATGTCATAGAGGTATCCCAGCAAATAAATGAAGAATGCTAAAATATAGTCAGTTTATAATCCCTAACATATACTGTACTTTCTGGCAATCTTTCATAAAGAAATACTTTTTTTTAGCACCTGAGTGGAAGACTCAGACATATTTTATCTACGTCTACTGATAAAAGTATACATGTTCCAAGGTGCATTCTTACCAACTAACCAACAAACCTGAGTAAGATCCAAAAAATTATAGAAAATAAGATAACCCAAAGATGTAATCAGCAAAATTCAGATTATGAAAAATTCTGGTTTAACAAATAAGTGTGTATTGGAAAGAGAACAAGAACACACAGGGTAGTCAATAAACTAAGAAACTTAAAAAATCTAATAAGTTAACTGAAATATAAGGCCCTTATTTGGATTCCAATTTAAAAATCTGTTACAAAAATTATGTAGTTGAGAAATTTGAACACTGCCTGGAATTTTGATGATATATTAACTATAAATCACTGTATAGGTAACTATACATAATATATGTGTACACACATATATACACCAATATTTTCTTGTCACACAGCTGGGATATTTACAGTAAAATGATATGGTCTCTATGATTTGCTCAAAATAATTCTGGGAAGGTCAATTTGTAAGGGTAAAGATGGGTTTGTTTATACTTTTCTCTGAAAATTTCCAGAAAAGTTTTAGGTAAGATACAAATAAGTCCTTTAGTGCCCCTCTCTTACATGTAATATAAATATTCCACCTCTTCCTCACAAATACACTATAAAGATAAATGAGTTCTTTTAAAGGTGTTTGGTCTAATGTCCTATTAATTAGGGATGAAAACAAATGTTGCTGCTTAAAACAAGTTTCAGAGTTTATACATTCTCCAGTGACAAATAAAGCACACCTTCACACTAAACAGTAAGGAGTGTCTGAGCTGCATAAGCACAGTTAGAATAAACCAAGCATTAGGCAATGATCAATATCAGTTTGATAGAATTACTTTCAATTTATGTCAATAAAGGCTCTTTTCAAAAGTTGTTTTTGTTATACTTAATAAAGAACAAATCTGAATAGTGTTTAAATACTAACATAAATGGAAAAAATCCTAGGTGTTTATAATTTTGCTCTCTGAGGTACATGACAAATACAATA